CTCGCCTGACCACATCAGCGGCAGCCGTGATGCTTGCTTTATTGGTGACATCAAGCTGTAGCAGTGTGATGCCGGGCTTATTCTCAAGAGCCGACATGGTGGCCAGGCTGCGGGAAGTGGCAAAAACCTTGAAACCATGTTCTTGAAACTCAACCGCCATTGCAGAACCAGTGCCTCCATCACTGCAACCGGTAATGAGGACAAACTGAGAGCTTGGCATGGTGAAGCTAGGCAAATGTAATGACAGATGGTTCGTAATAGTCTGGGATACTGGGGGTGTGGAAGATGGCTCAAAGTAGCCGCTCGCACGTTGAAATAGGTCACAAGTGGAGTGTAAGCTGGTAGAAGAATGACTACGGTATATTGAAGGCGATGTAATTCGTTTGCAGGCGATGTAATTCGTTTGCAGGCCAACCACCCTCTCTGGGGACTCGGCTGTCGGCAGTTGGAACGGGCAATTTGATATCCTCCGCCTCCGGCATTGCCCTCCTGCAAGCCACGCGTCATCTCGTATAGGAACAGCGCATTACGTACCCAGTCGGGTCGTCTGCATCTCTCGTACGATGATAAGCCTGGGCATATGCAGTTGGTTAAAGGTCACCCAATATCGGCAGAGTGTGTGTCTCCAAGCTCGATTGCTTGTGATGTTAGTTGTGGTGTTGGTTCTGCGATGTTGTATCCGTAAGTAGGTTAGATGTGTGGATTACGGTCGTACAACGAGGTGGGGATGTAGAGCAAGGGTTCCATGGTATCGGTAGCAACAACAGCCACGTCCCCCGCAATGTAACCGGTCCATACATTCGACGGTCCATGATGTTCGAAGTCCTTCGATTATCACCAACAGTCATCCAATGTACCCACCGTCTTGGCTGCCTCCTTTGGCTTAGAGGGAAGGGACTTTCGTACAGTGCTCCTCGTCCCGCCACAATTACGTCCAATTTATCCAGTATGACAATCGAGGACCTCTCTTTCACTGCTATTACATGACCACGAACTACATCGCTATTTCACTCTTGTCGAACCAATACAGGTGTCGTCACTGCACATTTTACTCGTTCGGCCTGTACTTCTCACAATGCCATCTTACCATAGGCATAGCCACAAAGACTATCTAGTAAAATAGCCATATTGGCACATAGCTATGGCGCCTCATCATCTATCAGGCTGCAATATTTATTCTTCAGTATCACTTTACATTCGAGATCGATTTAGGTTGGTGAAGCAAGCATGGAATAATCATGAACTTCTATGAAAGCCATCATGCCGACGAGACTCAGCTAGTGTGATATACGGGCATCCAATTTCCACCTATCAAGTGATGTAGCATCAGTGGTAATAAACGGTATGAACAGAGTGGCCTAGATACCCTCACTTGGCAGCTTAAAGGCGCCAGAAACTTGTCTCTGCCACCACCCTTCAGGGTCATATCTTTTGGTTATCTCGCGCAGCTTTGATGTGCTCTCTTCCCCATAGCCATGGATGACTTCATCACCCTCGCGAGCGTAGTTGGTGAAGATGTAGCGGTGCAGAAGACCTTCAGCACTTGCGGTACGCTTTAACTCGTCTACCAGCTCGTGGACTCTGGCCAGGATGCGCTGGTCGTCCGAGGGCATGGACCATGTGGGATTGATGAGGACAATGAAGAGCGGCCCATCTTCTGCCGGAATGTTCATGGCATTGCCGCCAGCAGCCTTGGAGTTTGAGAGAAGGGTCTTGGTTAAAGCATGGAAGCCAAGCGTGAAGGTGAGGCCGCTTGCATCTTGAATAGCATCAAGAGCTTGCTGCCACATTTCGTAGAAAGTCTTCATGAGCGCAATATCTGGTTTGATAGTGATAGAGGCCCAAAACTGCCTGCAAAATGGTCAATATATATCACTTGCTCAGTGCCTGGTGCCTTACTCACCGCACTCCATTCTGTGAGAAGTTTGAGAGCTCATCACTGAACGAAGAATGCGTAGACACCCGCATGGTTGACATGTCTTTAATCTGTGGCTCTAGAGTAATAAAGGGCTGAAGCGAAGGTGAACCGCTATCGCCCAGAGTGTGGTACATCACACAAGTAGCACCTTGGTGACCGTAGCCATAGCCCGCACTACACATTACGTGAGTATTCGGGTCCATATCCTGAAAGACAAAATCGCAGGCTCGTTGCATGAGATCGGGAAATGCGGTGGGCAGGTAGAATGTAACCCCTCCCCAGATATCCTTGGACTCGAATGTCTTCATTTTGAAGGAAGTAACGATGCCGAAGTTGTTCAGTCCACCCTTGAGAGCGGTCCAGAGTTCGGTATGCTGCTCAGAGTTGGCATAGATAATATCCCCGGATGGCATGACTATCTCGAACTCTGTAACGGAATCACACGCGAATCCCGTTTGTGTAGAGAATATTGACAGTCCGCCTGATAAATATCAGCATGGAAAAGAAAACTAGAAAGAGGATGTCAGAGCATACCACCAAGAATGAATCCCGTTACACCAACACGGCTAGCGCGAGCGCCTGTAGTCGTGATATTGAACTTTTCCAGTTCCTGGTACACCGATGACCACGTTTCACCGGCACGAATCGAGACAATGCTTTTATCCTGGTTAAGTGAGACCCCCTTGAAGTCTCTCATGTCAACTGTAATCCCACCCTGGACATTGGCAGCGCGTCCAGAGGGGTTGTGGCCACCACCCCTGATGGCGATGCCGCAGTCTCCTGAATCGGGGTGCTGTCGAAGCGCTCTTATCAACTGCTGGACCTGCTCAGTCGTTTGAGGCTTCAGAATGAGTGCAGGTTTGACCTCGTTGGCGAACGCGCTGAAATATGAGCTGTTCGCTGCTTCGTACTCCTCCGTGCCCTCGTACAAAATAGAGTCATTGCTGAGGATTGACTTCAGGGTCTGTAGAGTTTGAGCATCAAGAGTATTGCACATTTTGATGATAGAAGGCCGGTTCACGGGCTACAATTCAAGAGCGGATCAGAAGCAGAAGCTGGATGCAATGCAGTGGTGCTGAGAATCGTCCTAGACGCGCGCACCGGATTTGTTAAATAAGCTGGGTTCAACGAGGAGCAGGTACCTTTCGCTCGGAATTGCAAGCTAGTTCAGGGCGTGCAACGTTCCAGTGGTATGATTGCTGCACTGGTCTGGAGCATTTATGCGACCAACATCCACTGCACCCCTGTTGCTTACCATGGTTGCTACGTGCTTCCTGGTACATGTAATATCCATGCATGCAACCCAATACGGCCCCCTCCATGGTTGTGAGAATATGCATGTTGGTCCGGATGCACTCTTAACTCCTCACTTGGGACTTCCTTGGCATGTGATGAGTTTACAGAGCAGCCAACAGGCTACCTCAGCTAGTCTCCCTCTCCGCTGTCATCTGGAACCCTCTTCTAGCTTCCATGTGTCTGGTGAATATCGTCCTATTCTGGGTCACATACGTGACAATGACAGTGAGAGGGTTAGATTCATCTGTTGTAGAGAAATGAGACACCTCTTATGTCATGCTACTATATTGGAATTACGGGTATTGCAACATTTACCCAATTTCCCAATAGGAATCGGGTTTTGGAAGGCTTTCTCAACAACGTTAACATAGGATGTTGGACAGAACTGACCATTGGCAACAATAACCAACGAACTGGAGCAGTTGACTTGGCGCAGCCCAATACGAGTGTCAGGCTTTCCTATCTTATTCCCCTGCTCGTAAACTACTACAAAAAAAATGAAAGAGACGAGCACCCAACAAAAGGTAAGGAACTCTACAAGTCACATAGCAATTCTAGGTTTCGATCCTAGGACCTCCGGGTTATGAGCCCGGCGCGCTTCCACTGCGCCAAATTGCTTAACGCCACCATGACTAATAGTGATTGGATCGTCGACTTCACTAGCTAACTTATGAGCCTCAACTCAAGATGCCGCCGTCGGCCAGTCGGCTACCCTAGACAGGCAACTTGGTGGCCTCGATGTTGTTTTCCTACTGCAAAATCTCGTGGCTTGGAAAGTGCTCATAAAACTCGAAATCAGCGATAAAGGCTGAACTGAATTCATCTTCTGTCGGTGGTTTCTGTTGCTCCTTCTTCATATTCCCTTGTGACTGACACCCTTATCGAATTCCACTCTCTTCAATCGTGGGATAAGGCATGTCATGTATTATTCTGTAGATTTTGCGAGAAAGCTCCAAGGCATCCTCATTTACATAGTTTGTTTTGACAATCCTTCGTCCTTTATTAGTTCCCGCGTCCTACCAACTCAAACCAATCGATTCATTTTTAGGGCGTTGTCTATAACGGAGAACTGGGCTTATCAAAGACATATGGAGAAGAAGGAAATTACCAACAAATAATTCATCTTCTTATTCAGATCTTGAATGAGATCATCTGCCTCTAACCCCCTGTAGCCTAGAGACTCGCACAGCTCAGGCTTTTATTGGATCAGTGGTTGGGACGGCTATGGGACCAGAACAGCCTTTCTCGCTACTGAGACTTACATACCAATATTCTGGCTAGCACCGAAGCTGCATACAATCACGCTTGCATTGCGGTTGCGCAGAGATACGAGCGTTGGGGAAAAGTCCATATTGACTTATATCGAAAGTCGAGAAGAAGAGGAGGGATTAAGTATCTTTACTCAAGGATTTCATCCGGGATGTCTTGAAGTGCATGCCAGTCGCACAAAGGGTGTGTTTCTGGAGAAGCATAATTTGAGAAGATGCTCAGTCTTTAGACGGCGTAGACAACGCTTGTGCTCTGTCAAGTCTGACCACCTAGGGATACAGGAGAACTCTATTTTGCCAGCCGGACGACCGTCCATGTGATGAACCCAAATCATCTGGCCCAAATCCAGACAACCATAATCCATGATACTGAAGGGGAAAAAAGCCAAGAGCTAGAAAAAAGCCCTTGAAGAAATCTCAACACCCCACCAAACGAGCTAGGCGTGCAAAATCGATAGACCTTCGCAGAGCATCCACCACATCAAAAAGCCAAATGAAGGAAGCAAAAAGGAAATGCCTAGCAATTCTAGGTTTCGATCCTAGGACCTCCGGGTTATGCTATTGATAGTTAGAGTGAGTCACTTCGCTGGGTCTGGTAGGAGAACTTACAGCCCGGCGCGCTTCCACTGCGCCAAATTGCTTTTGTGGCACGTGACTTTTTCAGATCGCCATTTACCCTATCAAGTCTTTGCCAAGCGCAACAATTTTTACAAAAAAAGAAAAGAAAATCATGTTCGCAGATGGGAGTGATGATTAATCAGGACACGAACCCAAGGCTTGGGTTCGCAAAAAAAGAGGTTAGCAATTCTAGGTTTCGATCCTAGGACCTCCGGGTTATGAGCCCGGCGCGCTTCCACTGCGCCAAATTGCTTTGCTGATGTTTTGTAGAGTCCCTAACAGTTACTATGAATACTGACCAGTGCCACAGTACACAAGAAATTCTTCCTTGTAGCCTGCGAGGCAGCATTCCTTCGGAATAAGTAGGTCATCCTCGTCGTCTCCACAAACATGCTTATGGCCGGCCCAGCCACAGGCCCTTCCAAGAGACCCATAACCTGTGGCTAAGCCGAGCACCTATAAAGAACAGCACCTCTTCCACCCAAAACCCGCCCCGCCGTCAACCGACGACTCCCACTCCATCAGACAATACAGCCGCTCTCTTGGCTCGCTCCCCTCGCCGCCCCGAATGCCAGCGGACGAATACTCGGCGGCCCGCGGCGGTGGCGCCCTCAAGCTAAAGGGCGCCAAGATCGAAAAGAAGAAGAAGAAGAGCAAGGCGAAGCGAGACAAGTCCGACCTGGCCAGGAACCTCTCCGCCGGCGAGGAGGACGGCGGCCGCGCGCGCAGCGGCAGCCCCGCCGAGAAGCGAAACCGTGACGACGAGGAGTTGTTGGATGAGAGAGGGGATGACGATGCGCCAGCGCCCCAGAAGACGGAGTCGGAGAGGCAGTTTGAGGAGCGCAAGAGGAAGAGGGTAAGCAGTCCGCGCCCAAGCACATCCTGGCAACGATCCTTACTGACATGGAACCAAATTTAGCTTCTCAAGATGGCCGAATCCTCCGCTGCCCGACCTGAACTGCTCATGACGCACAAGGAACGAGTCGAAAAGTTCAATACGTACCTCTCGAAGCTGAGCGAACACCACGACATGCCCAAGATTGGACCCGGCTAAGCTATGTGGTACCCTATGGAATGTTACAATTACGACACGGCGTTGGATAGCTTACATATACCCTCGAATTTGTATCATTAGCAGGTGCGATTCGTCGCATCGGGTGGTTCATTCTTTATATATTCATGTTGACGTGTGAAGAGGACACGAGAAATGTGCCAAGCCCTGTCTCGAGGTTCATTATGCTAATCTAACGCCGTTCCGTGTATTCTATCCCTATGCAGGACGGGACGATCCTTTCCCAAAAGTCTATTCCGTCGGTGTGTGAGCGGGTGGCTCAAGCACAATACAAAGGAAAATCGTAAATCGTAAGACATGCTGCATGCGGATGCCATGTATACAGTACAACCGCGAGATGTTGGATGGTTCCACCGCCGATGACGCACAGCTTAGAAGGCAAGCACAAGTCCAACCACGGCGCTGAGCGCGGTGTAGACGAGTATGTTGCCCTGGAATCGCGGCACAGCTGCGTCCTGGAGCTCAGGGTTGTCTGCCTCGGATGGCGAAGTGGGCACGACAGCTACCCACGAAGTCGTGGTGACAATAACAAGACCGCCATCGGACAGAGTGCTAGTAATCGTCGTCGGAACAGGGCTGGAAGTTGTTGCATCTCCGTGGGTGACGGTTCGTCGAGTGCTTGACGATACCTCTGACGCGTCTATAAACAAATATTGTTAGCTGATATTGGGAAAGGATGGTCGCAGGTGTGCATTCAAGAGACATCAGTCACGAATTTAATCATAAGCGGCAAACATAGCAATCAAAGAGACCGAGACCTCAGGAAAAGTGCAGCGCAAAGTAAGACACAAGGGACGCAGGAAATGGGCAATCCAACAAGGCGGCAGAGATTGCCGCAACGGCAACAGAAATCAGGCTGAGGTCTCGCATCAAGACCTACTGAGAGTTCTGGTAGGCAGCGAGCTCCGGAGGGATGACGATGGCGAGGACGATGACGATGGCGAGGACGAGGACGAGGACGTGGACATGGACATGGACGGGGAAATGGAAGAAGACAATCGGGAGGCAGATGTGTCCCGAGGAACTGTGGAAGAGGATCGGGAGGATGGACGTGGGGAAGTCATCATTGTACCTGGGACGGATGAAGTTGGAGAGTCCGAGGGAGGCGGGGTGGAAGTGGCCTGGGCACTTGAAGAAGAAAGAGATGGTGGAGGGTGGTTTTCAGTCGTGGACATACCAGAGGCAGGTGATTGCGTACTCTCTGTAGATGAAGGTGGCGTTGACGTGGCAGGTTCGGTCGTGATCATACCAGAAGTAAAAGTAGAAGTAGAAGGAGCAGTAGCAGTAGTAGTGGAAGCATCATCTTGAGAAGACGAAGTTTCTTCCAACGTAGACGTACCAGTAGAGACGGAAGTGGGCTCCGAGACGGGTGTGGTGGACTGCTCCGTGGTAGATTCGGAGAGGGAAGAAGTCGTGGTGGTGACGTCGACGGACGTAGTCGTGGTGGTGGTGACGATAGTCGTAGTCGGAACGGTGGTGGTTTCGATGGTAGTGGTGTCTTGGGTGACTGTAGTCTGGGTGGTCGTGACGGGAACACTGGCGTCCGTGGTTGAGCTGACGGTGCCATTGCTGTTGTCTTCCTGTCTCTTGTTGTAGAAAGCGACAGTATTTGCAGCCGAGGCAATTGTTTCGACGACGGCAATCACTGCGACCTGCTCCTCCTCGTCCTGCTCCTGATCCTTGGCATGAAACTGCTGAATCTGATGCAGCCTGCGAAGGAACTCTGGGGAAGAGAGGCGAGGACGAGCTGCAGCAGATCTGTCACATGGCATCAGATTCCCTTGTCCAAAGGACCAGCTCGAGGTAACCATGGACCCCGCCATGACAGCGAAGCCAAAGCTGAGGGTGAAGCACATGACTATCGCCAGGATAAGTCGAGGAAGAGGCGAAGATGTCGACGTCGATGGCTGACGGTTGGGAGTCTCGGATTGGCATCGAGCCTCGCGCTGCTTGTGCAACGGCAACCCCGCCTCAAGCTGCTGAGGGTGCTTCTCGTTGGCGTAATCCATGATGTGTGCCGATAGTAATCTTGGTGTAGTGAATGGACGTGTAATGGGATAGGCTCCTGGATGCTGCCGTGTGCAGACGAGCCGATCGGTGCAGCCTCGAATGGAATGATGATGGCGATGATGACAAAAGCAAGCTGACGAGGTCCTCTGCCCTTAATAAGAAGAGGGTGAGGCAGGCAGCGCGAGGCAAATACGAACGACGGCGAATACGAGGCAGGTGCCGGCAGCCGGGGAAGTGGATGGTCCAAACGCCCACTAAAACCCGGCGATCTTGTTGCTTGGGAAGAAGAAGAAAAAGTCCGCCAAGAAAAACCCGAGAAACCCCAGAGCCACTCTACCTCAAAGAAAGCTTGGACAGCAGGGTCTTGATGGAAATTGATGGTCGGAGCTCTCTGTCATTTATGGAGGGCTGAGGAGGTCCGTTGATCCTCGACTCAGCAGTGGAGGGTGGCCAATACTTGGCGTATTGAATTCCAGCGCCAATGGAGGATGTGCAGAGGGCGGGTGCGAAAAAAAGAAAAAAGGGCACAGTCGATCCCAAGCTGCAGCAGGATGGAGGCTGATAGAAGATCAATGGAGAAGGGTTCCAGAAAATGGGAGAGGCCAAGAAGGAAAAGAGGAGGCGGTGGCGGCGGAGGAAGAAGGAAGAGGAAGAAGATGGTGATGAGAAAGATAAAGGCGGGAGCTGTCACCAGCCAGGTAGGTTCGGTTCAGTTGGCACCCGACTTGATCTACAGTTCAGTTCAGCTCAGCTCAGCGCAGCGGTGCCTCCCACGTAAGCCCAGGCACAGAGAGAGACAGGAGGAAAAAGATTCAGAGCACGGTTGTGGAGGTGGTGACACCCAACGCAGCTATATTTATTCCATCTAGCAGCTCCCTCGACGTACATACATATATGGACGGAGTTCTCTCAGCAAGGAAAAGTGAAAACTGAACCTGACATCCACCCACCCGTCTCGACCTGACCCTCTTTTCAGCCAGCGCCAGTCTGCACAGACAAGAGATAGAGAGAGATAGGACATTTCACAAGCCCAAAAGGGCGAGAAAAAGCAACCCAGAGAGGGTCATGGCCGGGGGGGGGCGAGATGCGCGTGCGGCGGTGCGCCGACAAAGCTGACAGGGTATCGCAAGACGGAGAGGCCCAGGCGGGGGGCTGGGGATGGGGATGCGCGCAAGGTGACGGGATGATACCAGAGCCTCCAACAAGGTGCTCTTGATGGGACTGCTTGTGTATCGGGTCAGACAGGCAGGGATTCTCTCGCACCACCAGCAAGCACCAACCACAGGGCTTACGAGCACATGGTCCGGGTTTGTTTCCAGCCTCTTTTTATTTTTATTTTGCTTCATCATTACCCTCCCTCTCGTTTTCGCAATCGGCCCAGCAAAGCATCTCGGCATCGCCAAGATTTAAAAAGGTGTGTGGCAGGGTTGGAAATGGCACCAGGTGACATCACCATTTGCTCGGGACGAAAACGCCCTTGGAGGTTTCCTCACTGTTTCCCGGGTGGAGAGGGCCACCGCCAGCATCCGAGAGTGACAAGTGGGCGGGTTTCAGCTGGGGATTGGCAGAGCCATTGTTTGGTCTTCAGGTCCTTGCTCGTATTCCTCACTGTCAACACACCACTAACCGGTCTAACCCGCTAGCATGATCGGACTGTGAGACGTGGCGTCGGCTTGCTGCTGCTCGTGGTACCAGTTTGCTCTACTAGTACCTGGGCTGAGCTGAGCTGAGCAGAGATGTCAAGCCCTCCGAGGCACAGAGCCACAGAGGCAGATTCAGCGGTGAGACGGTCGCAAGCATCGATGTGACTGACAACAAAATGCAGTTTGTTTCCTTGCTTGTTGGCGACGGCGGGGGGCATCTGGTTTCCTATTCGCGCACCAACAATCGACCGTGGTTCGTTTCCTTGGATTGCACGAGAAAAGCATGCAGGCCGGAGCA